AGCATATTTGTATTAATCATTAGCGGATCCTGATGTCGATAATAAGGGGGTTTTGACCTGCTTTAATGCATTTTTTACCAAGATTTTTGAAACGGATCCAGCAAAATTGATTTTTTTTTAACTTGGAAGGGGGGGTTTTAACCCCTCCCCCCCCAGAATCCGCCAGTAGTATTAATTACTCTCCTCTTCCATCTATTACTTTATTTATTAACCTTTTGTTCTTTTTTTTTCCACGAGTTACAGCGGCGCTGCAAGTGATACATGAAGTTGGTCGCAACATTTTCAGTAATTCGCTTCGTCATTACGGGACGCCGCAAGTAAGAGAACGTAGAGTAATTCTGTGCACCTACATTTCTACGTCGCATACGATAAAATAGACATTGGAAGTGTCATTTAACGTTGCACGATTGTCATAACGTGATTAAATACGCATCGAGAATGCGATTAATATTAAAAGTACCATGAAAGAACAGTTACGAAGAAACAAAAAAAAGTGATGTCGCGGAGAGAAGGCAAAGGGTGTCGGGTAATGGCAGAGCAATGATAAGCAAATCGCGAGGTAAATCATTTATTATTTGCAAATAAAAGGTTGAATGCGCTCAATTATTTTCGACATAATAAAAAATGTAGGTTTTGCTAAAGCAAATGTTACAGAAAAAGGCTAACGCGGTCTTTCTCCTCGTAATTTATTCATTTCCAAAATTTATTCATTTCCGAAATTTATTTCCGGAACATCAATTATTTGATCGCTGTTACAGTTTAAAATTGAATGCGCGCAATAATTATTTGTGAAGCATCAATTATCTGGGCGCTGCCCTAATATAAATAATTTGTTTCTTTACAGATCAACACTTGAAACAACTCCGCTGCTGTACATCGAATTCGTAAGTCAAATTATCGTTATTTTAAAATTGTGAATTCAGCAAATAACTTTAATTGATGTCGCTAGATGGCATGCGTTGTTCGTAAGTTGCCATCAGTGTTGCCATATTCGATCTATAATATCTAGACTTTTACTAGAGGGCTCTAGGCGTCGCCTTTAGCGACCGAGTGATCAAAGTCATACAGAGTGTCAGGGAGGGCGGTCGCGTTACATTACTTTCTTCGTAGCGCGATTCAGAATCGCGGTGAATACGTGTGTGCGCGCGCGGTCCGTGGTGGCCGGTCGATGTGAGGAAGCAGAACGCGAGAGAACAACGCAACGAAAAATGACGGCGCGCCGCCGTGTGATTTGACAAGTGAAGAAGGAAGCGCCCGATGGGAAAAGTGTCTCGTTAAATAGCGCGGTGGTTTTGACACTGGTGGACTTCAAGGATTCGCCGCGCGCAATCCTGCGTATAACCCCTCTGGTTAGTGCAGCCTCTTTGTTTTTTTCGTTCTCTTTCATCCGCGTCTCTCGCTCCCGCTCCGTTTCCACATTCGGCGTTCGACATAATAGTCTAATAATCGTGCGGATTCGAGGCGCCGCGCGTCATCGAACCGCGACAAATTCGGTCGAAGTACGGGAAAAAGGGTTCTTTGAAAGATCGATCGCAAGCGAAACATACCGCACCGAGAAACCAGACCCGGCGCCGTTGACGCTAATACGTATATATACAATGTATATATACCTGCGTATGTGTATAAACGGAATCCCAGATTAGTAACTCCGGACGCGTTCGCGGATATGGTGTCGTTTTGTGCATCCTCTCAATTTTTCTCACTTTCCACCGATAATCTCGTAGCATCTCGCCCATACCGGTTTGATGCGATCGTTAATGAGTCGGAATCCGTAAATGATTATCATTGAGCAATTTATTCTGCCGTATCAATTGCAAGGTGGGATGTTTACTATAACAATTCTTTCTAATTTTTGCAGAATTTCTAGTTAAATTATAGAAAATTTTCTTCCGCGTTTAACTTGTTTATCTCTTGATATTTGTTTATTGAAGTTGTCTCAAATTTTCCACATTATAATCTAATTATCGAATAAGTTGCTCCGAATCGGAAATAGTCTTTTGATTCGCATCACAAATTTATTCCTTCCTTTTTACGATGCAATAATTCTGCAGATTTGCTCCTAAATTTGTTCTTAAATCTCATGAATGTATTATCTAACCATTTCGGAACAAGTATACAAAACTGACGTGAATTAAACATATAAAAAAGATTGTTTAAAGCGAAACATGGAGTGTACTTCATATTTAGATAAAAAGAGACCAGAGGATGTGTTCTAAATTTCGAGGAAAACTACGCGTTAAGACTCGTCTTCGGATATTCGGTCGTAAAGCCGGAACGATCGCGCGCGGCTGCTTTTATCGCCGTGGCTTGAGAGGCGCGCAGTGCTCGAACGGACACGCTCGAATCGATTTTCCCCGTCGTTCTACCGTCGACCGTGCAAGCCCTATTCGCTCGCGTACATTTCTTCGAATTCTCGTTGGTCGCCAGCGGTAGTCGTACGTTGCTTCGCCGCGGCAAATATCCGTAATTATGCGACGACGAGTGCCGTTATCGTCGGCATGACTTGCGCTCCCCGTTCGTCCTTCGGCTTTTATCGGAGCGTCCACGATCCTAGCAAAAGGTATCCCCATGTTCCCGCCCAAACGTTGAGGAAGCTCGGTTTTTACTTTTACAGTTACTACCTTTGACGATGATTATTAAAACGCGAAAGTTGTTTTCGGAGAAAGAAAATTGTGATATATAGTGTCCTAAGAAATTCCAAACACAAATGTCCAAAGTATTGTCGAGAAATCTAAACACTATATTTTTGAGACGCACTCTTGGATCTTTGTATTGTTTGGTGATGTTAGCAGAATTGTACTTCGAACGAGATTCGCGTTTTTTACTCTTATTCTTCGGTGAATAGCGAGCGGGAGGGACGGCGGTGCTCACAATGTGCGTGGACCGTTTCGTCATGTACGGTTATACCACCCGTATCGTGGAAACTAAAAATAGCGTTCCTCGAGAAACAACCAAAGTAAATCGGTTATAGCCGCCGTGATCGCGTTTTTGATACTTTATTTCATCGTCTGTAAAAAATCTCACTTTTTAATATTCAGAGTTAAAGTGGAACAAGCTCATAAAATTTAACATAATATCGTATCTAAAATAAACTTTACAAATTATAGACGCGATCTATTATAGTTCGCAATACTACGCTTAGGATCCTGTATATTATTTTTGTTAATGAGCTAAGATACTTCTATTAATAGCTCAAATCTTGTGTATCGAGAAGCGAAAACTCACGTCGAGGGGCTGAAATAAATTGCGCGTTATTGATTAAACGTCATTCGTCATGGTCGCTTCGATCTGCTCCTCTCTTATCGGCCGGATCGGTCATTAGATATCGGGATTCCGAGCTGTGGACCGAGGTTGAAAATTAACGAGCGGAAGTATCACCGGGGTTGGGGGAGGTGAGGACAGCGGCGACGGTGGTCGCGAGGGTGCCGACGACGAGAGGGTGAATCGACAGAACGGCCGAAGGATGACGGGCGAGGACGGAAAGCGCAGTGGCGGCACCGGCGATGTTACCGAGACGAACATGAACACGAACGTCACCGACAACGCCAACAACGTTAACGCCAATGTTAACGCTAACATAAATGTCAGCCAGCAGAACGGCGCACCAGAAAAGGCGCCTGTCGTCGGTGGAACCAACGTGGAGACATTGCCACGAGCTGGAAAACAAGTGAGTTTGATTTTCTTCATTAATTTCGACATTGAGAATGATACAGATTTGAGAGTAATACACTAGAAATAATAGATTTGAGATATATTGATTAGATGAACTAGATATGAGGATAATTCTTCTCTTACAATTTTATGTATGATACAAAAAGAAAAGAATTTTACTTTATCAAGATCTAAAAACAGTTTTCATAATTATGCTACATTTTTTCAATTTACATATTTGTTTTATTTTTAATGTAAGAAAACAAACGGAAAAGAAAAATATTAAGAATAAAATTCTTTTTAAAATTTTCTCTACTTTTGAAATTAAAAATTGTTGAAGTTTGCAAGGATAAGAAAGCGGCTTAAATTTATATCATTCTCAATGCTAAATATACCAAGTATTTGTTTATTAATTTTATAAATTATGGCACGTGACAAGAGACTGATATTCTTTATAATGCGATGATACTTTATTATCATGCATATTAAATAAACATTGAAAACCAAATAACATTATTTGGTTCGATTATCGAATCTTTGAATTTGCTTCGCTATATTGAAATCACATTAAAAAAATAATACATAATATTTTATTAAAATAGAATACCTTTTTACTGCGATATTTATTTTAATGTCGAGATCATTATTTAAAAATTTGCTATATCATGTATAGTATACGCTTCAAAGTACTGCATAGTGTGCGCATTCGTTCGTCACGAACGTATGTATTTTTGGCCGCAGGACGAGGGAAGTGAGTAGTATTATCGCAAATAATAGCCTTCGTATGTATACATGGTGTTTAATAGCGTATACGGGTTTCGCATTCGACTGCTTCACCGCATGTTAGGTCACAATTTCGATTGCGTGGGTAAAGTGCGAGAGGAGGGCTTAGTGCAGCTGTACTCCCTCTCGCGCATTTATTAACATTCTCTTCACGTATTGAGTTAGTTTCCTTGGAGACGTTTGTCGACGGCAATTTCGCAAATGAAGGAATAGTAAAGGCGACGCGTAAATACAATAGCAATTGTAATAGCATTGTTTCGCGAATACTATCTGGATATTTATTTATTTCTGTATTATCCAAGTACCTGAGTACCTCGAAATAATACCAACCAGGTAAAGATTGACCCATTGTTTTATTTACGCGAATAAAGAAAGTGTCTCCAACGATGGTATTGATGATTTTATTCGATTACGATGATTCTACGCGAAACAATATACTTATTAAAGAGTTTTATTTTACATTGTAGATATTCCGTAACATGATATACAGCATCTAAGCTGTATTGTTGAATATACAGGATATTTCAGATCAACTGTATCAATCGTTAATAGATATTCCTGAGGTCATTTGAAGACACAAATCTTTACATTGAAATGTGATTACAGTAATTTTTAAATGCGAAGCGTTTAAAGCTGATCGATCAGATTATCAAAAATTCACGCGCTCAGCCACGTCGCATATTGATTTTTTATATCTTTACCATGTGAGAAACTTCAGAAATCTACTATTAACGAATGATGTGATTAGTCCAAGACACCTTGTATATTTTACGTTATTTTTAAATAACTTTTAAGTGTTTAAAATAATTTGAGCAATAATTTTATCTCGTCTTTTGTTATTTTTTTTACAAAATTATTGTTAAAAGTGCAGCATTTAGATATCTTGTTTTTTTAAAACTATCTTATAATAAACTGCGCAATATTTAAAAAAGCTAGGTATTAGAATTGTATTTCAGCACATATTTCATAATTTGCTCTAAATAGTATCGTTTGCTAATGTTTATAATTCAGTTTTTACGAGGCTCCATTAATCCGATGTTCGGCATTTAAAAAGCCGTTGACAATGCAACCGTCTTTGTCACGGATTGTTACGCCGAGCTCGCTAACATGCAAAGCAATCATTAAGACGAGCAGGCCGACTAGTCGATTGTTGCGGCTAAAAGGTCACGGTTACTCTAGGCTGCTGCGAAAGTAACAGCTCGAGCAGGTAGGAAACGCACGTGCCCCATGTTCACAGTACCGGAGATCCTTTCCTCTTCAGGATCAAGGAAAAAAGCCCTAGTTGAACGAACGCGCGTAATTGCACGAGACGAAAGACCGCCAGAAAGAGAACGTCGGGCTGCTTCGTTAATTACAGCCTCTCCCGGGCCGTTCGCGTCAGCCACCGTGTCGTTAAGATGTCTAATCATGTTCACGATAAGAGAAGAGAGTATTATAGGTATCTCAATAGTTTCGAACGAGGTAGAACGTACAGAAGTAGAAAGGGAAAATCGGTAGTTTTGACAAGGTAAGCTTCTTACTTAAGGACAGCATGAGGAACCGGTTGTAAGTCGGAAGAGACTCTGAATCAGTGAAAGATACAGCTTTCAACCTGTGCAACTAATTTCTTGTGCTAGCTGTATAGTAAAAGTTTTTGATTCAACTCGTCCGTGACCTCATCTTCTTTATATTTGTAGCTAGATATTTTTTGCTACGAGTACACGCGCACTTAAGCATCTGGGTATTAAAAATAAGATATTTTTTACGTCTCTTCGTCCTACATTCATCAGTGTGACTTTATGTGCACGCGTTAACGCTTTTGAAAAATTTATAAAGTTGTTTGCTCAAGGTTGTTCCATTTTATGGCGAACGAATTTGAATGGACATGATGTTTTCAAGCACATATGTATATATTTTTTCATTACTGCGCTATGCGAAATCCAATTGACATTCTTACCCTAATTAGTGAGTACTTCAGGCGCGGAAGTAGTCATTGCTTTACTCTCTTACTAAAAATGTGTCGCTCAATGAACGACATGGCATGTCCGTCGCGCGTAACTCGGTGACGAATTATTTCATTCTGCCTAGTCGTGATGTCATCACGCTATGAACGTCGCTGACGCTACGATTTAACAAACGTATCGCCTTGCCGAATCTGAGAAAATTACCCGAATTAAACAGCTACAAAAAAATCAGACCGTGAATCGCTGTCATAAACAGAATGAAATATCTAAAACAATATATTTGCGTCCGTTGTGAACAGTACAGAACGTGAGAAACGCTATTTGTTTAATAAATTTTTTATAATAATAATTTTTCTCTGATAAAATTACAGTTCTTGCAATTGTGTTCTAATTTTATGCTATTATTTCGCAAAAACGATAATTTCTAAGTTGTAACAATCTTTCTTACATCTTAAAGTTAACGTACTATTTATCACAGCGAAACAATATTAAGATGCCGACTTAGCTTCTTAAGCGATAAACGATAGCAACGATAACTGCATTGCTTATCGAAATTCCGTGAAGTCTGTACGGGCAGTTTGTTATACCAGGACACACGCGAAGACTCCATTGACTCGTGTTACGATCCGTTCGCCGCGCGTTGTCCAATGTACACCAGCACTTAAGTGTGTCTCTATGCATACGTTCTGGACTCGTGCAGGGTTACGTCATAATTTCACCGTGGTCCTTGCCAACGAACCTTGAACAATATTTCGAGGCCATGGTTAACCAACCAATCCCGAAGAGAGAGAAAAAGAGATCCATACGCGCACTTCTCCGTCGTAAATAAAAATACATTTCTGTCGAATTACATTCGCGGTTGAATCATGTTGTTAAATAGCAAATTGATTAATTGACTGAGACGCAACGGCATTGGTAAAGCTAAAGGATTGCTGGTCGCGAGGTTGCGTGTTCTCCCCATATAAATCAAGGCCGTCGTCTTTTATCGCGAATATCTCTCACCGGTGGACCATACAAAAATCACAACCCTAAATTTCGAAGCATCAAATTTATGTTACAATAAACTTCTTCGCGAATTAATTTCTTTTCGGGCGATAAATTACAAACCGTATTCGTAACGTTCTTCGGTTAATTCTCAGAATTAAAATCCACTCGAGAGAGAATTCTTGTTGAAGCTGAGATCGCGTTGGTGGGGAATCCATTGTGGACATCAGTCCAATTGCATTAGAAAACAACATCGTGTTTGTCGTGTTTGTCATGTTTGTTAGATTTGAAGTATCGTACCTGTTGTTCAGGGTATCCGCGTGCACGATAAAAGACACGAAGGTGGTGCTGCAGCGATCACGCAAATCTAGGTCACTCGCGACGCATTACGGAGGTTTACGGTTCGGCAATTTTTCTCAACTGCGGCGTCGTTTTCTGCGTGTGATGCTCTTTTAAGAGATGATTACATCGTCACCCGTCCTGACGTGTTCGCAGACTGACGAAAGGAATTATGTGCATTGTATACGAGTTACATCTGATTACTAACAACAATACGGTTTTGACACCGGTTTCTTACGGCGATGTGTCATCCCTCTTCTGTGAAATATTTTAGCCACAAGTGCTCTAAGTGTTCGCGTAATGAAAACCAGACTTGCTCGTATAAGAGGCCACGGAATTAGATGAATTGATTAATTTATTCTAGAATAGAAATTAAATAAAATAGGAAAATATAAGTAGTGTTACACAAATTCCATTTTTATTTTTAATTAGCACAAAAATGAAATAATGTAAAAACTGTATGATTCGACAAAAGATGTGTAATCGAATCAGGATTAAAAAGTGAGATTTTTTCTCGAAGGATCATCTTACATTTTACAAAAATACATGTTAAGTAAACGTTTTCATGAGTCCCTCAATTTCTGTGCTTTACAGTCATGAATATTCCGCGCTCGGTAGAGGCATTATTAAAATGATATTTGCATAACTCGCGCGATGGAATCAGACAAACAATGCAGGTGAAGCATGGCGATTGATACGACTTTTGATCTTCCGTATATCGATTAGCGGATTACTCTGCCGTTTTTATACAGTCGATTTTATATATTCGTACGAAACACGTCATTTTCCATTGGACGATTCTCCGCCGGATAGAACTGCGTTGCGAAATTGCCGACTAACGCAGACGTGTACACATGTACACCGTGTACATGCTGCGTCCCTTCCGCTTGTGCTGTAGTAAAGGTGGACTGAAAATAAACGTTTTCGCGCCGGTACGCTGCCGCAATGGCGTGTTCAAGCTTGAATG